CAAAACTGCTAAAAGACCAATGTGTTCGATTTCGCCGTTCTTTATCGGTTGATTTAGAAAACCATCACGTGTATCTAGGATGGGGTCAACTGTCGGCTTTGGTCAAGAAACACAGAATTCATCCTCTTGATCAAGGTTTTGATAGATAGCGTCAGTCTGTGTTTATTCATCCTAAAGAACATTCATGAGTAGTGATCAAAACGATTATGCGGACAACTTTGTGTAGACGCAATGTTTCGGATGCAAATTTTATGTTAATGTGGAAGTGTGAACACTACAACGGGATAATCTGAACATGCAAACTCATGCTTATCTACCAGTTGGTTATCTTTCTTGATTTTAAATTTATTATTAAATACTTGATCGTGTGTTTTGTTGTGTCGCACTAAAGCGGATTTTTGTCACCTCAAGTGAACCTCGGATGTTGCGATATTATCACGCAACAAAAAGAGCTATATTAAACAAATGTTCCAAAGCTTTAAATGCAGTAAAAGGATAGCATAGCGGCGATACTCATAGGACTTCCAGAGGGAAAACCAAGCTCGCGAATTCATGCTCAGAACAGTAGCAAAAAATTTCGGCGGAGTGTGGACCGTTCCTTTTCTCTGTATTGATCACCTGGTAAANCTGTCAAGGTCCTGTGTTTTCGAACTGTTATTAACAGTTTCATAGGTATTTTAACACATTTGCACTTTAGCTAAACCATTTAGTTTTCCTGTTGATTTAGAACCAGCAGAAGTCTAATTAAAAGCTCTGGTAGTCAACGACAAATGACTGAAATTCACAAACATAGGTCATTAGATATTGGATTCTGGAATGACATACCAGGTGAAATTTTTCTTACCGATTGTATTTAGATGAATTTAAAGATTTTCAGTTTTTTATCTTTTGCAAGTTGCTCGAACTTTGTAAATGGAAGTCTGAAGAATGACCACATGATCAAAAAGAGAGATCCTCAAAACGATGCACTTTGATGTTGTTTCCCGCACCGAGTTGTAGAATCTTGCTTAAAAATAACCTTTACCTACCCGGCAAAATCTTGAGCCTGATTCTGTCCCTACAGACCTGTGTGTGTAATCTTTACCTACCTACGAGTCGTTTGAGTCAGGTGCACATTGGCTGCTGGAAATGCTCTGTGTTTGACTCTCGACAGGGACACTCTTGACGCGAACAGCTGGTTTGCGAGTGCGGATTCCAAAAATACTTCAAGGAACGGTTAATTTAGCTGTTAACATCTATTATGGTTAAGCAGTATCAAGCAGGAAGTGTTACAAGTGCCACTGTCAGAAGTACCAAACACTTGCGGTTGGAATATTTAAGACCGTCACTCAAAAAATATCACGGCTGTTTCGTAAGCTTTGATCGGCCACAGTATATTTGCAACAGGTTGACATCTTCGGTTAAATCCGTCCTTTCATTGTATCTCCATTGAAGTTTCAAATTATGTCACTCGTTTATGTATGTTTATGCGATTTCTGTGCTCTTCGGTTGGGTTATATCTGCTGAGTGGCAGGCTCCTGTGTTAGACTGCCACATCATTCAGGGCGTTGGCGCTGCACTCATCGGTTCGAACAACGAAGAGGCTTCTATGCTGCATTGCATATAAGACTCGCACCCCAGGCCATTGTAAATGGTTCTGCCTCATCAAACAAGATGTCAGGTTTCAAGAATCTCATATTACGAAGTTTTGACTGGCTCCAAAACAGGGGTCCAGTGTGGTCATCAGCGTTACAGTAGACTGCAACACAGTCAAAGGAAAATCCTGATGACAATGTAAATAACATCCATGTTTAAGACCATGTCTCCCTAATACCAAAATCAACACCCATTTGCAATTTTCCCTGTTTATATCAGCGCTTCGTTTGAAGCATGATAATAGCGTAACCGTCATTTTAAATGCACTCAGATGTCATACAAAATAAAGAAAACGTTCACTTTCCACCAAACCTAAAAAGTTTAAACGCCACTTTGTCTCAGCGAAACCAGTCTGTGCTCAAGAGCTGAGAAGCATTGTGTAAGTGATTGAACCATACTAGGATCGTCCTCAGTGCGCTTCTAATGTAATTCCAGGAGATCTAAGCCCTGCCTCCTCCGTGCCATCCATCATCCACGAGCAGCCGACCTAGCTCGTACTCAGACAGGACATAGCGCCGCTCCGGGCTCAATCACGGGATTTAGGCCGAATGGGCATTCTTGCTTACTGGCCATTAAACCAATGATGCTCTTGATGGACGTGTTATTTATTGAGTGGCGCAAATCCAACACAGGTCGCTGATAGACTGTTAGCAGTGTGAGAATATATAGATAATGGCTGACGGAGTTTGCCCAACATCAGAAAGTTGAGACGCTAAGACGTACACTATATTGCATCTAATGAAAATAGGCTGGCAAATTTGTGGGCAACTTAGTAATTTCCGCGGACGAAAAAATATTTCTAGTCAATAATTCGCATTATGCCATACGCAGATGGGAAAGAGGAGTTCAAGTTTTGGGTGTTAAAACGTTCACCATTTGTGTGGTTTAGGTTGTTGGGATGGCAGGAGCAACCACCACAAAGTCAGGAAAACGATTTTTCGTAGCGGAGGCCTAATGGAAAATCGGGCAAATTGTCACATATCAGCAGTGTGGTAAACGACGTCAGTGAAATGTAAAATCCGTGAAAACTTGAATCATTGACCTTCGGTATACGCCAGATATTTAAGACGTTTTGTCACGGATTTTTTCTCTACCTAAACTGAAGCAAATCTCTTTAAAAAGATTTGAGTGGGTCCAAACATTGCGTCTATTTACTACAAATCTGACACAAAAGTTGAGTGGTAATTGACTGGGACTAACAGGGGACGCATTCACAAAAGACGCTGTTTTATGAATTTGTCAAGCATCTAAATTTCATCCAGAACTCAGTGAGGCACATCAACATCAACCACACTGACAACCGTTTAACGCATCCAAGCTAATGAGGATCGCTAAAAGAACTCTCAATCTGGAGAAAGTCTATTCAGAGTGAAATTCAGTTGAAAGTTTCGTAATTTGTAATTCACAAGACTGAATTTGACTACAGATTTGTGTTACTTTACCAATAGCAGCAAGTCGAATCCCCTTATGCTTCGTGCAACATCTTAATATAATTCTCACGTTTCGAAGCGTTGGTCGGCGGTGCACCATGTGGTTTATTGACACGACAAAGCTCCAGACATTGGACACTTGTGTGAATGCATTATCGCTCTGTTATATTTTTCATTGCTTGGGTGTCGAACCATTTGAAGTTTTACTCATAGCACGTGGAATCTGAAAGTGTGCAGAGTGCTGACAGTGTCTGCATTGAACTGAAGCGGCGAGTTGATCGTGAGTCCAGAAACATGTGTGCCGCTTTCAAAGAATATTTCATGATACATGATAAGCCAGACATAATTCTTACAAAACAAGACACACAAAAGACAATGCACGAGAATTTCATTCATTATGCATCACACTTAGCATCGACATTCGAGCGGGGTATAGATTTGAAGCCGATGCTTCCGTACGAAGCTGCCACCCATACCTTGTCTGCAACCAGCGTCAGGAGGTTTTCAGAATATTTCGCAAGCATTTACCGGTCAGCAACCCTGGAACCGGTAGGTGCAACAATCCTATAGCCATGGGATTCGAAGCAGCCTTGGTTACCCCACAGAAAATACAGCAACGAACAACAAACTCAAATCTACATTTACACTGGTTTTACCAACCGACAATTTTGGCCTGCTTTTGCACTCAGTAAGCCAGATAATCGCATATCAGAAACACTTTTACGAGGGACGTTTTTTAGTCAGACATATCGGCAACACTCAACCCAACCGTGCAAATGACGTGAGTTGCTTGGTCGAATGCGGCCGGAAAAGGCATTTTCAGTTCAGCGTTATGCCATTGGGACTGCCAGTAACGGAAACTATTTGCACTGGATATCTATCGAACAAGACTCAATTAGTAGGAAAAGAAAATGCATAAAAAATGATGGAGAAAATGAACAGAATAAACAAATTACTATTAGTCTACATGATTTGCTGATAAGCACTAAGTCCCTTCCATGTCCACCTTTACTCTTTTCTTTACAATAAGGCTTTCAAATAAATCATGGTTGAACGGCAGTGAAGCATCGGTGTTGAACACTGATGTCATGCTGTCGATGATGATGATTGCTGATTAACGGTGTGCGGTATTCGCGCTGCAGTCGTCTGGCTATAGGCGTATTTTAGGTTACCGGTGAACGCTTTACACCAATTTCGATTTGGTTGTGTGGTAATGAAGAAAACACTCACCGGACGGCTAGTCTGTCAGCACTTTAAATACCTAATGATGCTCACAAAAAAGGACGAATCCAATGATATCGGACGTATGGGCATGACCTAAGAAGTTACGTTTGGAGAAATTTTTTGCTTAGGTAGGTTATTGCTTGAGTGTAAATGCGGACAACTAGGCATTTAACACGTTAAGTTCCTGTAAAAATCACGGAAGAGACGCCAGTGGATTTGCTAGGAGTTTCTGATTACCGAGCAGAACATTCCATACGCTGCAAATTTCGGGAGATGAAAATTCAGAGGTCCAAAATCACGCCCATAAGAAGAACACAGTAGAACGGACAACTATGTCACAAAGAACGACGCACAAGTCACAGTACAGTTCCTTCATCCGATCAATGAAAACATTGCACTAGCTAACCCAGATCTCGGACGTTGCTGTGTGTCCTTATCCGTCCCGTTGCATATGTTTTTAACAAACAGAGGCCTCGAGTGTGAGTTAGGAATAGTCTCTCTGCCATTCAGACTTCGAGACATAAAACATTTTCTTCACGATATGGCGTTTCTTTATAAACATTTCCCCTCACTTTTCAAAGCCAGTGAAAACCACACTATAGTGTCAGGTGTCCGATGTTCGATTAGACCTCACGTACACTTGGTGTGTGCGTGTAAAACATCTGATATCCTAAGGGAAACTATTCACAAGGTTGCCGAAAACTCTTCGACAGCCCACGAACGGTTTCGCCCTTCTTAGAGCTCATCAGGTAGGCGCCGTCCCCGAGTTTCCGTCAACCTTATGATCTACTTGAACCCAAATTGCACTGTTCTCGAGAAATACACTCATTTGCAAATCAATTTGGCTCTCAACGGAGACTCAATTGAATCTCTCGTTTATGATGTCCTCCAACTGAATGTGCTGCATACAGGCCGCCTCATAATACTGCGATATCTCGAATATCGTGCCAACTGAATCATGAGGCGGCCTGTGTGCAGCACATCCAGCTGGAGAACATCATAAACGAGAGATTCGATTGAGTCTCCCGTGAAAAACCAAATTGCTTTGCAAATGAGTGTATTTCTCGGAAATCTGATATCCTACTTTGTATTGGTCGGCTAGTATGCATGCTTCAAAGCTCGTAACTCGATCTTACGCATTTACACATCAATAGCGGGATACTGAAGTGTCACACACGTAACCCAGTGTAAACCGGAATGGGTTGACTCAGATGGACATGAAGAGCGTGTGGCTACTAAATTGTGTCCCAACCGTAAGTGGTGCCATTTTCGAGGTCTAAGACCCATCGGCTGAAAAATTCAGCAAGCTCAAAGTTTACGCCATACCAATGCGCGCCTATAGAGAAACTAGCCCTCAGCGCATTAGGGAATTGGTAATTAACCAGTCCCCCATGAAGCCTTTCGTTATATAGGACATCAGCCTAGTCTTGATTCTAGCAATCAGTTGACTTCTTAATACGCGGTTCCTCTCCATGTTAGACGACATCAAATCACTCACTACTGACGCATATCCGCATAAATCAACTGCGGATGAAATCAAACGACGTAAGATCAGTTCACTCAGTCAAAAGAAAATGCAGCCAACAAAGCTATATTTTGTATGTTTGGAGTACATAATGACAGCAGCTGCTGAGTTGAAGTTAGTTTGACCAACTTTCATGATCTTGGCGACAGTATATGCACTTCAAGGGGGAATGAAAATATTTTGACCAGAGTAGCGAGTGCTATTTCAGGCGAATGTTATTCCAGAAAGAGACTGGTTGGCATCCTCTTATCATCCTAGCTACATTAGGAAAACTGAGTTTTATTTTCCCGGTCGTTTGGATGTTTAGCGATAACTTTTCTTCAATTCTGATGTTCCAAATGCTCTAGTAAATTGAGTACTGATAATTGCGACCTATGTTCACTTCGTTCTGTGAATGCTTTTAAAGTATCAACACATCGTGAAGGTTTTTGTGTCGACCCAACGTAAAACGTTTTGGCTGAACGGAAAGTGCACCTATGCCGACGTTTTTATCAAGCACGACATAATTACCCACAGAACTTGGGCGAGAGGTAAACAGAGTCTCGGATGGGCACACAGCCTGCGTAAGAAGGAAAAAGCAGAAATATGACGTTGATTATACATCAATAGCCATCATCTGAGCCAGTGGTTGTAATGTTCACCTTTTGGTTTACAAAACGATGTTTCACTGATAATGAGGGATCTGCATCTCTCAGTCCGCCTGGGTTGATCTTATGCTGGAGATTCTCAAAGTCACAGCCAGTAACTTTTGTTGGCTGATGATTTTGGGGTATATACGCACTTTAGATAATCTTTTACATAGTATTCGTGTTTGCCGTTGTTTATCGCTTGACTCGGCGTGCCGGACAATTGGCACCTTAGGTAGGAGTCTTGGCTGTGCTGACGTTTACACCTTACTTCGATAAGGTGCTTAGATGCGTTTAGTCCATTACGGGCACTAACATACTGTCAGACTAATTCTGACCGCATTGCGTAAGAAAGAAGCGTCCTCTTCCATTCCCTTTCCATTTTTCAGCTAATTATCCTCATATTTGTGTGTCATTTAATTTTCATTCACCGTATGTAGCCATGAGTAATACATAAACTAGACCCATGGGCGCACACCTTGTCGGACCTTTGAACCATCCAGCAATCAAAGATTGCTGGCGTAGTGCGATCAGAGAGTGGTTGGGCCGACTCGGTTCGAGATAAATCACTTAAGTTGGACAAACCTGCCAAAAGACCAATGTGTTCAATTTCGCCCTTCTTTATGGGTTGATTTAGAAAACCATCACGTGTATCCAGGATGGGGTCAACTGTCGGCTTTGGTCAAGAAACACAGAATGCATCCTCTTGATCAAGGTTTTGATAGATAGCGTCAGTCTGTGTTTATTCATCCTAAAGAACGTTCATGAGTAGCGATCAAAACGATTATGCGAACAACTTTGTGTAGACGCAATGTTTCGGATGCAAATTTTATGTTAATGTGGAAGTGTGAACACTACAACGGGATAATCTGAACATGCAAACTCATGCTTATCTACCAGTTGGTTATCTTTCTTGATTTTAAATTTATTATTAAATGCTTGATCGTGGGTTTTTTTGTGTCGCACCCAAGCGGATTTTTGTCGCCTCAAGTGAACCTCGGATGTTGCGATATTATCACGCAACAAAAAGAGCTATATTAAACAAACGCTGCAAAGCTTTAAATGCAGTAAAAGGATAGCATAGCGGCGATACTCATAGGACTTCCAGAGGGAAAACCAAGCTCGCGAATTCATGCTCAGAACAGTAGCAAAAAATTTCGGCGGAGTGTGGACCGTTCCTTTTCTCTGTATTGATCACCTGGTAAATGAGAGCGGAAAACAGTTGGTGGTTCAACGCAGTAGCTCACTTTTACAATGGAGCATGCTGCACCAATCAACATCCTTCAAGACGACCTATTGTCCGATAAAACTCTCGTCACATATGTGCACGCCAAGAGTTTAACACGCCAATGGCGAATATTGTTGTTTTGCTGGGTACACTAATCTGTGCCGTCATTCTGACAGGTGAGGAAGCTTTATTCTTCGTATATTCATGGTAACAGAGCAAAAAGTCGTTGAGGAATTTTTACGTGTTTCGTTGGTAAGATGCTAATCAGCAGTTGAATGTACTGGGCTAACCTCTGCTTGATTTCATCACTTCTATTTTGCTGCTAACCCACTAACAGGAGCTTCAGACATTGATGATCGCTCCAGGGAGAAAAGGGATTCATACAGGCCACAAAGAACCAGTAAGTGTGCTTACAGACTATTTAGTTATTTGTACGTACTGCACACTCGTAACCACTGCATTTGAGAGCTATCATAGGTATCGAAAATATTCCTTGTTCATCATAAAAGTGGGGGTAGACTTTCAGGCACCAGATCCACAGTCTCATGGCCCCCTGGGATATGTATCCGGAATTCAAAAGGCTTTTAGTTCCTTTCTACTTGGCAAGAATATTGGTGTTGATTCCTGGACGGAGGTTGCATCACGTTGCACATTTGATTCGCTAAACAAATAGATACGGATTTCATTTTAAGCTTGAATTTATGGTAGAAATACGTTTTGAACTAAACCAATATAAACACTACCTTTGATGATGATGGCTTCTGCGGTTCTTGGTATACATACGGTATGATAAGGCAGTTCTGTTGAAAAGTTCCCGGAAAATCTAGTTCAACACGCACCTGAATATTGTGCGTCCCTTCAAATGATGGAGGTCTGTTGGTCGTTTCCAAAAATCTTTCTTTTACGATGTAGAAAAAGTCGTTTATTTCAATAGGTTTACCTGCAGCCCTTCAGTCTTTAGTAATTTTCATGGGAATTTTGACTTGAATCGGTCATACATTTGGGAGCAAACCACCAACGCCTGCACACCGCACTCTCAGCGTCGTTGAATGGATAACATTCATTTGCCGCGGAATTGCGCATCCCTATGTTTATCACTCACACTACAACAATGCCTAAGAAGCCAAACAGATCTTTCATCGGGTTTCAGTGATGACTTACGATGCTTATTCCTAAGACAGGTGAAAATTCATTGGGGGTTAGCAAGCCGACTAAATAATTTGCAGGTAGATAATTTCGAAACCGATTTCACGTGGCAATAGTGACATTTTCCGGGCAATCTATATCGTGGGATAGTTGCCGAACAAATGGAATATTGGCGATGAAGTATCTTGCGTTGAAACGTTACAATATTTTGTTTAAAACCTTCCAAACAGCCACATTACATCCGGGCTGTATGTACTGTAATAACGGCGTACTTTTTGTACTGTGGTCGTAGCTGCTATTATCTCCTCCATCGACCATTTGGAGAATGATTTGAGGAATATGGTCACGAAATACGTAAAATCAGGATTCGTAGAAATAACTCCGTTCGACACAGTTTCCTCTGAATTCCTGTTAATTAGTCTGTGCAAGGGAATAACTAATCCATGCTGTCTGCTCCAATTTTTCAGGCCACTTTATGCACCGACCCTTTAAATCATTCTCTCTAGAAATGATTTTGTGTGGCGGTTCAACATTGTGCAACGTGTTGTTAAATTCCAACGTCAGTGTACAATACCGGCAATTTCAATTTCCACACTGACGACAATCTAACGGAACTCTACGTCTGTGATTTATACCCTGTGTTCTTTTCACACACACAAGCCCATCGCAGAAGGCTAAATCCCAAGATACCAACTGAATATCCCAAAATTGACGTTGATCCTCATTTTTCCGCCGACTTGAACCACAACGGCACTGGGAAGCTTTTACTTCACTGTTGGCCACACAGACGCCAGAGAACATACCTAATCAACCTAAGTAAAGATCAAGGAACATAGAGGCATATAGCAATTACGTCTTTAGCGCTGAATGTTTGCGTGAAATCTTATGGACTTCAAGACGACTGCATGACAAAGAACAAACGTCGTTTTTTGTTTTGCTGGTGATAAAATCAGTCAAATTTGTGCATCCCTTAAAGCTGCTTATTGTGTTTAACACCATAAATATGGTTGTCCCTACCACGAAGACTGAATTTTGCTAAACTAACTGATGGTTACCGTGCAAAAGCGCGACATATGTCGACATGCATCCTCGGTCTTATGTTTTACCGCATATGAGCCATCTTTTCTACCTCTTCGTGATCTTATTTCACCCACATAATAAGTAAAAGGTCATGCTCAAACAATGGGTTGATCATTCGTTGGGGGAAATCGGCTACCAAGGCAACGTACTTGGATCGAATTCGCTGACTATGCTGGAAGAAATTCCAGAAAGTTCTGAGAGAGTTCTCTTAACCTCAGAGAGTTGGTGTATTACAGACTCATTGTTTTCCTACTTCCGGTCTCAATTACAGTGGTCGAAGTCAATAAACTTCATTTAATTGGTGTTTTGAGGATTGCGGGATAAATACTGTTCATATTTATGTCACACACGTTTGAACAGTAGTTTTGCTGCCTTGGTTTTGTTATCCTGCCACCAAAGGGGGTGGCAATGGACGCGATTAGCGCGCTCAACAGCAGTACTTATTCAATGGCCATGCAGAATTTTGAACTCCGGACACCTGACATGCAAGGCCCGCGTGTTACCACTATTCCGCCGGCTCACCTTAGACCGATCTGAGATAAATGTGTTCACGCTTGAGCGTTGTTATTGGTGTGCCCATCGGAATCATCATCGAACCCCAATTCCTTAAGTATCCTGTTTGTGACGATTTGTTGACCGCTTGTCAGGGCTTCTCAGTCAGGTGGCACCACAGACGCTTGGAACCCGCTAGACAAGTTTTGTTCTGATTTATTATGTGGCGTTTGCGGAATGTGTATGGATCATACTCAGATCCCTCTCGTTTGAAAAATCAACCTCCTGTCCTGGCGTAAGGTTCCATTTCCTCGCTAATCACAACTATGCACTATACTATGAAATTAACTTTATTTGACTCTCCTGAATTTACTAATTCGTTAGTAGATCTCAGATACTTCATCACATGCCGTGGATCTAAGGAAGCTTTTTGCTCCCTTTGGCAGCATTATCTACTGTTGCTGGGCGTATCAACTCTGGAAATTTAATCCCACGCTTATTGTGATTGGATTGTGGTTGAGTTGCGTGTAAGAAAATTGAGATCTTCCGCAACCAATGTCCGGTGTTTTTTGTGGGGGCTTCTCGATGAGTAAGACTAAAGACTTATAGACTCACAATCTATTCTGCAGTTGTAAACTCATTTCAGGTTTTGATCGGAATACTATCAGTGATTTGCCGGACTGTAGGCAACAGCATCGTGTAGCGCCTGCACACAGACATTGTGGTCGCAATATCATATGCAAAGTGAAAGCGCAAAATCGACGTCGATTTTACGAAACGTGTTAGCCTTGGTGTGATGACAAGGGCCACTACTTGAGGCACATTTAACGCTGTTTTTTAGAGCCATTTGTGTTCAGTGGTTTTAACAGGGGTTAACGGTAGCCCATTTTTGAGCTACCTTCTCGTTTTGCGGGATTCATATGTTTTGAAATGCTGCGGTCCGTAATCCAGATTCGTAATAATAACGATAATCAGGTGATTAAACATTTTGGCGTCTACAACTTCAATGTTCACTCTCCGCCAGCGCAAAATGATTTCTAAAAAGCATCGAAACACCTGATTGTGTTGCCAACATCCTTATCCCTGTTTTCCTCAACAGAAAAGGTGATCAACATTTTAGGATTGTTTTATTTGGTTTCCACTGGAGGTTTTCTACACTCACAGGCGTCCTGATCAATTAAGAATTGGGTTCTTCTCATTTGGAGTTATTTTTAACGTTTATCCATAAGGTTTCTATCAAAAAACCACTGCCGGAAGACTTTCCTTAACATAGAGCATTTGGTACACTGGCACAAACTCCTCAATCTTCCCGTGACGTGTGACGTGAAACCACAGTTAGCATGCCGATTAGGAATATATATGAACCAGAAATAAAAGATCAACTTCTTGCTAAACTACATTTCCAGAAATTATACACAGGTGTTTCGAGAATTCGATTTCTGACATGATTAGCCTTTGCTTTTCAATAGGACGAGACAAATTATACTGAATTTCTCATTTTGCTCAAAAAAGAGCTTACTCTGATTAGATTATGATTACGCAGTAGCGTAAACCAACATTCGCAAAATACACTCATTTAAAAACTCATTTGATTTTTCAAGAGACTCACTTGGAACCCAGCGGCATCTCTCGTTTTTGATGATGTGAAACAAACATGTTGTTTCACTGTTGGGTAATTTGTCAGGTAAACGATCAGGATGAGCATCCAATAAAGGTTTTCCTTTATACTAAATAGGTTTATAAAAATGCCTGTCGCATGCACATTGTAGTGCCAAGTTAGGCAAATATTGCTCTTCATATAATTTTTTACAAAGAAAAATATAGGGCAAGGTGTCTCCGATTACGATGGTGCATTATGCGCTTTTGTAATATTTCCTTGGGTATTTCAGATAGGAACACGAAATAAAGTAGATCATATTGCCTGTTTATTAAGGCGCGTAAAAAATGCCCCATTAGTTTTAGCGTCATTGTCGTGCTGAGATAAAACTGATTTCAACTAAGGATATAATCTATTTTACACGATTACAATGTTTGCAAACAAGACCATAACGTGTTCCCACCTGCTTGGATTATGAGATCGTCGGCATTTATTGAGCTCGCAAGATGTCGGACAAACAGGTACCCATAGTTGCGCGTGATAAAGAAAGGTCGCCTGGAAGACAGCAGTCATCAGGACGCGAAACATTCGAAAGGAAGAATGGAAAGCACTAAAAAAGCGGTTTATATCATTTTGTTCGCTTTACAATATGTTGTTTTCAACCCGTATATTTTGCTAAACGCATTTTTTCTAAAACTGATACGCATGCTTCTTCCTTGCCGGTGCAAGTCGGGGAAACGGACACCGATTATTATGAATTCCTTGTTAACAAGTATAGAGGTAAGTCACGTTTACTATGGGCCATGTTCTCCTTGTTAAAGCGTGAAATTTCACTGGAATATGTTGGCAACTTAACCCCATTTTTGTGTAATGATATAAATATATCGGTTTTTTGAATACTGATAATGATCATGGGGCCACAAAATGCACTTTTACTCGGATATTTTCTTCACACTGACTACCCAGCAAATGCGATAATTATTTGAAAGTTGCTTCTTCACAAGTGGAACCTTACGTTTATCCGTTGTGTTGCTATTTTGATCTGATTTATTGCAGAAAAAACGAAAAGGCTCTAAGGGCAGTGGGCAACAAGAAACCGGATCAGGTGGCTACCTTTGGCGTTTTCTTCAAAAATAAATGAGCATTAGATATTGAAGTATTTATTCCCATTTCCCAGCTTACGTCCATACATAGTGCGCTGGAAATATAATTAATCTTAAAGTGGTAGCCAAAATTTATACCAACTAGGGAACAGGGATCCTCTTCAATCTCGAAGAGCCAAAGGACCATCAAGCGTTCCCAGTGAGAGGAAAGCCCTTGCTTCGGAGCTATCTATTGGATAACATCAACTGAACAGGTACAGACTATTGGACGAGAAGCAAAATTCTCGTATGTATCTTGTTTATATCCGTCTTGTTTGTATTCATCTCCTTCTAGAACGCATCTCCTGAACTTTCCTGGTTGTTCGTTTACTACCACTCAAACGTAAACAAATGCTACAAAACGATTTCCCAAATTCTTAATAAACCTAACGTTTTAATTGATGCGAAGTGGATTTATTCGAAAATCACATACTACTCACATGCTTCATCTTTGGTATCCACTGTTACGGTAGATCTTCCACCTTTTTGCTATTTTGCTGATTACACTCACTGCTCTCAGGATAACTGCAATTCAACCAAACCCGGTGTTAATTTCATCACCGTGATTGATGCGCCTAAACGCCTTGCGATCTTTAGAGAAGGGACAAACATGGGTTCTTTTTCCGCTTAGGAGTTCCAGTTGCAGCATGACTATCATCTACTGTATGGATGCATCGTTATGTTCACTGATGATGTATGCATCTTTGCAACTGTGCATCTGTGCAGTGAGAATAAGCTTCACGCCAGGGATGGTTCAGGGCGGAAATTATACGAAATTGCATTTTAACGGTCTCATCTTTGTAACCATCTTGTCCTGTATATTATAACTACGCGCTGCCCGGTTTCACCTCGTAGGCCACAGTACATGCCACATCGCATGCCATCTACCATGATATGCGAAATTCTTATTTTATCTTGCCCGAAAAAAAAACCAGAGCCCACATGGTTTCTAGGGACAGATCATATTCAAGTATGCTCCGGGGTTCAAGAGGGCTCAAGTGGCTAGAGTGCGGATCTACTGACCTGAAGGTCCGATTTTCGAACCCGATTTCTGCCTCTCGACTTTCCCTGTCTAGGCTTGGGCAACTCGGCAGTATCCCAGCCCTCGAGCTTCCTTCGGTGGCATGACAATCAGGCACCATGAAGGTGTTACAGCTGAACGATTTTCTTTCAACACCGGAAAAAATGGGTTTGCTACGCATGAAATACCAGCTGGTTGCGTGATGTTATTGGAAATAAAGAAAGCTAGTCTTAATTTAGCCGCCTAAAGCAGGAATTGAGTATATCACTCCTTTTGTGTGCGCATTTGTCACTGGCCCATATCTATTCTGAACTACCACATGAGATATTGTCGATTGTATGTAAATTATACTTTAAAAATTTGATGGGATACGAGTGAAAATGTCCATTCTTGTCGTGAACCGTTTCTTATGCATAAAAAACTCTCAAACTTGGATGGCTCTATTGAACAAAGTAAGAAGAAGCAATTCAACATCTGCGCTGTGACGACAATTATCGGGCACAGAAGCGCGTAGTTATCTCGCAATGTCGGAACTGCATGAGCCGTTAGCCTTCTAATCAACAGATGAATCAGATACGTTGGCATGAATACTGAATTAATCCGCTAATTTGATAAACCAAACCAGACCATGGAAGGGCATTAACCCTATATAGTTTGCTTTAGCATTCTGTCTTTTGATCTTGATATATCGGCTGTTTGTAAGGTGGTTTAACCTGAGCAAGCCTGTTTGCCATATTTAGTTATTTAAAGGAATGGGATGATAAGCTAGTGTGCTGAACACTGCATAGGGATGCATAAATAATACAGCTATTATCTATTTGGGAAGCCAGTCAAACGGTTTTCAAGCAAAACTGCAAGAAGCTAGATCGTTATGTATCAAAGATGTATTTAGCACATCTCGTTAAATCCTGCGAATATTTTGCTCCAGTGACACAAACAGAAGATGAAAATTCAGGCCCACCCTCCAGGTCTCCGGTTCAGGTTCCAGGTAAATGATTTTTTAATTCCTAACGTTTTAGACAAAGTATTTGAACCATACCATTTTTATACATTGAAATACCTCCAAAAGCTAATATTCTTCAATAAAATTGAGGGCCTCCAGAGCGAAGGTTACCTTTTTGGCGCTTAAACAAGCTCTATCAACACTAGTTTCTAAATGAAGTCTTTTGAGTTGTACTCACTTCACTCATGATGTTTTCGTGCTTATTACATTCTGACTAGCGCACAATTATCCATCGTTTTGAGTATACTTGCCCAAAGATTACCGAGTACTGGTTAATTGAAATTTTATTGTAAACGTTTGTTGTTGATATAAACCACGGCAAAAATCTCGATGGGATGCTTTGACCACCTCGTTAATGTAGACATAACCTCACAATATTACTTGCTCCAATGGCAACTACCGTGAACCGCAACTGCTCTGCCGGCTTCATCGAGATTTTGATTTCGAAAATATAATATCAACACAAGAAACTGACGATGTTGTGTACGCCGACATTGAACAGCCTGACGTTTCTAGCAGACTTCCCCCAACAGACTTCCCCGTCACACAAGCTGACCGCAAATCTACAGTGTGGCCCCGCCAGTTTAGTATACCACAGTCAATTTAGCTACTTTCCGAACACATTGAAATTTATTAAGCTAAATAGTGTTTTCCAAACGCCATAGTACATGCAGTTCCTCATGTTCATATTCATCTCCGTTTCTTCCAGCGGAGACCGAATAATTTCGTTGTTTCAAGCATGGAATACTGAGCAGTAGGCTGTGATGCTTTTATGACTGCAAAGTACATGAACGATGTTAGCTGAGTGAGGAGGCAAATTGTTGCATTCCAAATCTCAGTTGTTGATTTTAAAACTCTTGTTGAGAAAATAACAAAGAAACAATCAAACGCCTAAATTATATATCTAATTGTGAAATTATGCTTCGTGAAACTGTTATCTAATGATTTCCTGAAAATCCGGAATGGTGACCATTATGTTTTCGTGACTTGCCACTTTAGAGAGGACAATTACCTTTACGGAACAGGATAACGATTATGATGGGGACTATGATGAAGGGAGCGAAGAGGGAGAAGGTAAATGAATTTCTGGCCAAACTTTGCCCTATCGTTATCATTGGATGTGCAATTTGCGAACCACAGAAATGAAATATGTGATTCTGTTTTATAATCGTATTTGGAAAATATAGAAAGGCGAGCTCAGTAATAAGATTTCCAAGAAAAATATCAGCATTCGCGATGCTAAGGTTATCGTTCTAATGGTTGAATCAGTACACCAGTGGAGATTTCTGGCATGCACTGGCTAAGGTATTTTTATGCGGAAGGCCAACACGCAAATGTAGCGTAAAAAGGCGGCTTACCTATGACCGAATGTTTTTTATCAAAGCAGTGGGATTTGGTTCTATCATGAGAAAGTATACATCAATGGTGGCTTTCGCATGCTGAATCAGACGCACAAGAACTCAAAATGAATACACGGTTGTCAGTGTGGAAGTTAATGAAGGGAGATATGCGTTGGAGACAATAGCTTACAAGCACCAGCAGTATTGAGAGCCATGTCTGACAATGGCTATAACCACTGATGCGGCCCATAGTGAGATTCCAATCCAGGAGGACAGCAATGGCCAACCCAGCTGAGATTACTAATAATGAATTTCACACTTGGCTGCCAATTCGTTGTTTCACTTTTTCGGGATTGTTTTCGTCCTCTCCGCCCTTCGAGGAAGTCGGTGCACTGGTATACGCAGCACACGGCCAAATTGGTGCAGCCTATGCAGAGTTATTTCCACCGAAGAAACATTCGAAGCTGTTCAGCATTGCTGATCCGATATTGCAATCAGACTGGAGCAGTGCTCCAAACACATCGACTGTTAAACACTGAAAGTACTTTGATGTCCTCGGCACACACTGGCCAGTTTTCTAACCCGTATAGCAATATGGATCGTACAACAGCATTGTAAACTCCACCCATAACGAGCAAGTTGATGTCACACTTAGGCCACAGGTGACGCAGGTTCGCAAAAGTTGCTCTGACCTTCCCAGTTAGGAAGAAAGACCACCAGGGCTGATATGGCTGTCTAGCTAGAAAACTTGTCTCATTACTCAAGTGGCTCAATCGCAAATATGGGACTAGGCTTTGAGACTACCCAGTTCTGCAGTAGTACTTTACACTTTGTAGGTGTGAAGCGCAAGATAAACCGTGAAGGACGATTATTTAGATATTTTAATACTGTTTGCATTATTATGGCATCGGATCCAAGAAGAGCTATGTCGTCTGCGTACTGAATGTCTGTGAGCGAACAACCCGTGATAACTTCTGATTTACAGGTATTTGAGGCAGATAGTGAATCTTCCATAATCGTATCACTGACGAACTTGAAGACGAAAGGTGAGAGAGGGCAGATTTTGCTGACACCACTTGATGTGGTCAACTAAGGCCAGAGCGCCTTAGCGAGAGCTATAGGACGCATTCCTCCTTGGGAGCGTTTTATAGATATTATATTATATTTTATATTTTTATATTTTACATATATT